TACTTCTTTCCTCTCCTAGTTATCTGAGCCATTACTATTTATCCTTAATTCATGCCTAACTAGAGGTATTTTTTTCTACTACATGGAAACACTTAATAATTATTTCTCTCCCAAAGAGACGACATCGAAGAGAGAACATCTAATCCTTCCTCTCCATCGTCTTTTCGTCTAATTACTCTTCCTCTTTTTCTTTCAAAAATTTTGGAACGCATCATTTTTATACAAATAAACCATTTTTTTCATGTAAATGATATAATTCTTAAAAATCCACCCGGCTTCCGTAAAAATCACAGTATCACTACCTCTCTTCTTCATCTGTCAGACTCTGTTCTTCGATAATAACTCTTTGTCGGCTGTTGTAGCTTTAGATTTTTCTAAAGCTTTCGATACAGTTAATTATGAGCTATTGACTACCAAGTTGCATCATTATAGTGCCTATGTGATTCCTCTATATCACTTTTACGTTCCTTCCTCTCCTCTCGTTTCTTAACAAGTTCTCATTTATAATCCTTTTCCTAGTTTCTCTCTGATATCAAAGGTCTCCTCTGGTGTATCAAGGTTTCATTCTTAGTCCTTTACTATTTAATCTTAATGTTGCTTATTATCTTTTCTAGACCTTACATATAAATTGACGATGTACTGCTCTTCATATCTTTCAAATCCTCTGAAGCTCTCTGTTGCTCACTAAATGATGACCTTCGACAAATCATTGAATGTCGATATTGAATGGATTGTATTTAAATCCTGCCAAATCTTCACTTTTAATTGCTGGTTCTCCTACCTTACTTTATCACCTTTCTTTCGATATCTCTATTCAAAATGTTCCATTGATCTCCAGCACACTATCAAAATTCTAGCTTGCACATTGATTCATCATGGTCATTTGAACACCATGTTGTTGCTAAATGCAGGCTTGCATATTCTCGTCTTAAACTACTACATCCTTTTCGCTACATTATGTCGGTCTCTCGGAAACTATGAGTTACACAATCTCTAGTAATATCTCTGATTATGCTGACACTGTATATCCTTGTCTCAAACAATCATCTTCATAGAAAATAATTAAAGAAGATTTATCTTATCTTCGTTTTTCCTATGATGATAGAAAGTATCATATTATATTACATAGTGATAGAAAGATCATATTACTCCTTGCTTTCAGCGCTCTAGTTGACTGAATATTTTCCAACGTTTCACAGTTCATTTATGTTGCGTTATTTATAATGTTCTTCGCCAATACTCCTTAGATATCTTCGTAAGCTAATCCATTTTAACGTTGATCTCATTCAGGTGCTCTGCCTGATACTCTGCCTATTAATACTGATATATATATATATATATATATATATATTGAGCAATACTTACATTCCTTCACTTCATTAACGAAACCTTTGCTTTTGGTAGACGCTTTTGGATTACGTTTTATCATGGATGGCATACCGAGGGCTTTTTTTATACGTGGGATTTTTAGAAAACCAGTTTGTATCAGAGAGACAGTGTTTGTTGCTACCCAATAGGTCAAAATAGTCTACAAATATAGATAAATGCGATGAAGAAAATTAGAAAATTCAGAGAAAGAGTATATTAAATATGAAAGTTATTGTTTGCGTTTAAATTAAATATTTCATGATACAAAAGTGTCTTCACAATAATTTTTTTTAATATCAATAACAGAAATATCGATATTATTTATTATACTTACACCAGGGAAATGCAACATAAACGGTAATGCAACAAATGGCAAAGCTCGCAAAACATATCGCATTACACCCATCGCATAGATATTAGTGCCATCCGTGCCGAGTTCGATTGTGATAAACATTGTTACACTGGTAATTATCGGCATTATATAATAAGGATCATATACTGTGAGGTCCTTTAGCCACAAAAAGCCACCGTCTTTTAAGCTCTCCACAGGCAAGTTTGCCATTTTTCTCAATGCAAAGAAGAAGGAGATGAACACTGGTGCCTGAAACATTAGAATTATAATTAAGAAATGATCTTTTTTATACTCTTTTTGCATATATAAATGCGTAGAAGTATTGCATACTTGTACTAATGGCATCATAACGTTCTGTGTAAAACTAATTTTGTTCGTTTTCATGTACTTCATCATCTCTGTCGCTATTTGTGCACCTATTCGGAAGAGAGCAATTAGTTAGTTAGTACTTTCTTTATAGTGAGATCGGCAAACATATAGTTTTTTATCAAAACAATTTCGTCAATACAAAATATTTCTAACATATCGTACTTTGCATATGATCGCCACAATTCCTGGCTTCTGTCAATCTTATATTGAAGTCTTGTATTTTTGGCATATGATTTGTAAGTCGAATCACATTCTTTTGCGTTTTTATCACTAAGGGAAATAGAAGACTTCTTGCACAAATAGTAGCTGTAACAAAACAATTAAATTTGTGCTAATAATTTTAAAATTTTTATTAAGTCAATAATCATCGTGTGATAAAAAAAAACCAGTACTTATAACAATTGCCAACCACCATGGCATATCTAAATTTATGTGCATAAATTCTAAGAGATTGTGTACGATCCCTGTTGGAGTCCAACCACCCAATCCTAGACTCTCAAACGTTGGCTCTCCATTCGGATGCACTTTCACAATATTTTCTATTATTTCTTGTATTGGTGTTGGTGGATCTATATACATAAACTGCAGATTAATAAATAAAGTTCGTAAAATAATTTCTATTAGGTGTTGGAATTAATTCGTAGCGTTTTACAAGTGATGGGAAGTACTTTCATTAATGTATTTTTTAATGCTCATGTGAAATAAATAACATTCTTTCATTAAAAAACGCTACGAATTAATTCCAACACCTAATATAATTTTTACTTCTTATAATGTAATTACGTATAAGAAAATTTTAAGGAAGAGAAAATATGTTTATTTATATAATGGTTTATTGTTAATAATATGTAAATTATGTGTGTGTGTGTGTGTGTGTGTGTGTGTGTGTGTGTGTAAATTACATATAGCAACTAGATATTTATTCTAGATTTAACTAGATATTTTATTTTTTCTCAATATTTATCATAATATTATATTTATAAAAAGAATTAAGAAATATCAATTTTCAAAAATGCTTCTATACAAACCTGGTATTTCATCATATGGACTATTTTGCGGTGGTGTTTCATTTATTATAGTTTCAATTGCTGAAGTTTCATTTGTTATAGTTTCACTTGCTGGAGTTTCACTTTCTGTGGTTTCATTTGTACTAGCATAACGAATTAAAGAGATTCCTGTAATTCTATAGTTTCTATGTAGATCCAATAAAGAATTGTTTCTAGGAATCCTTTTTCCTTGAGTTACTAAATGGATATGTCTATATGTAACAATTTCCTAAAAAAAAATTTTCTTTGAACAAGTATTTTGTAGTATTATCTTCTAAACAAAGTATATAGATTATTATAAGATATAATAAAATGCATTAATATATAGTACATATAGGAAATAAAAATAACACATTGTTATTATCACAAGTTACTTTTTTTGATAATAAATTGGCATTATCTTTTTTTAATAACTGTAATAATAACGTAGTTATATTCTTTTGGTAACGAATTTTATAGTTACTTTAATCGTTACATTTTATATTTTGTACTTATTTATGACATAATTTTTCTGTATGTTTATATTTAATCTTCAATCTTTGGACAATATTCATAATTTATTCTTACTTTAAAACTGTTTTAAATAATATCTAAAGATACTAATATGGCTCTGATTGATTTATGATGTCTTAAGAACCATGTTATAAACCAATCACAAAATTGTATTAAAGACAATTTTATAAATATCAATCTTTATGTTTGACAGAAGTGATGCCATATATTACATTTGTGAAAAATATCAGTTGGATTATGTTCCAAGACTAGAAATTTCATATGAATATGTATAAATTCATTCGGAAATATTATGTACAAAGTTCTAGCTCAAACTAAAAAAGTATTTTCCTTCTTAGTTGTGTTTTTACATATCAATCTAGTATCATAATCATTTATTGCTTTCATTAATATTTAAACAAAAAATATTACACAATTTTTTAAACTGATCTTATTTCAGCATAAAAAAAAATAACACAAAAAATAACATTATTTTTTAAGTAGATAATAATAAGTAAAAGAATTATTTTTGAGAATCAATAACGATAATTATTACTCTTAAAAAATAACTTTCTATTCCTTAAATATATATTTATATAGAATATATTTATACAGAAAATGAAGAAACAGAAATGAAAGTAATATATAAATCCTATATATCGATGTATATAATAAATTAAATGTATTTAGTACGTATTTTTTAGTACGGAATTATTAATACGTATGCACATTTTTTTTCAGAATTTGTGTCCATCAGAATACGTATCCATACTTAGTTATTGACTCAATTTCTTTTCATTAAAACAAACTTGTTTTATAATTCTTGCCACTAAGTAATAACTTCCTAACCTAACCTCTAAAAAACCGCAAAAGTATTTTACCTGCGAAATCATGTTTGATTTTAGCAATGCTTGCCGGCGAATGATTATGGATGCTCGCATCAACATTTCTGCGCCTTTCAAATGAATTACCATTGTGATTTTTGATTAAATTATAAAGTATGTGTTCTTTCCACGTATAAGAAAAAAAATTTAGACGTGACCATGTTCTGCGGTGTGGAAGATCAGTGATGGTATATGTAAACGCATGATGGAAATGGTTGCGTTCAGCAGACTCTAACGCTCGCTGTTATTGGATGCTCTAGAAGAATATACCAATAGCAGCGACCGCTCACGGCTAATTGAAACATGTACATATATGCACATTTACGAAAGTGAGCGGATAAATGGTGGAACCAATTAGAGAAGAGAATGTTATCCACTCCACTCTCCCTTGATTCTCTCTAAATGTATCTATTTTATCCTTATCATTCACTGAATATTAAACAAGGATAAAATGAGACGCGGTAACCAATGAACATATTAAGAGCTACAAGCTTATTGGTTACTACATCACATTTTGCCGCGCGGCAAGCGTTTCCGCGTCCAGTGTGCAGGAGCCATTAGTAACATGTATTGTCATTAGAAAACCAAGTTTACACAATCCTCGACTGAGTACAGAATTTATATTCTGTAACTGTTTTCACGCCTATCGATAGTTGTCGATGTCATTGCGCAGCTTTTACACTATATAAAATATCTGCGCAACGACACCGACAACGGTCGGTAGATAAAGATAGTTATGGAATCATGTTCCTGATGATTGAGCGTTGTGTCGACGATAACGGACAATTGGAATGCAACTTGTGTCGCAGTGTGCAGGAAAGTGTCTAAGGATATTGCAATTGGAAAGCACTCAATATGTCTGAAAAATTCGCGGAATGATATTTTTCTTATGAGACAAATCGCCCCATCTAACGGCCGACGTTAGAAATAGTTTCTAAGAACTTCATGCAGAATATGTGCGAGTTATATTAATATCGATTGAATACTTGGCAAGTGAAGATGTGTTTTGATTTATGTGTTTAAGTGTGTCGTTCAAATTTTACGATGAAGCAATGAGCGTGTATCAAATTTTGTTTCAAACTTGGCAAAACTGCAATGGAAACTCATGAAATGATGAAAACAGCGTTCAGAAAGGATGCACCGTTACGCACAGTAACATTCGACTGGTTTAAACGTTTTAAGGAAGGCTGGCAGTCACTGGATGACGACGCGAGAAGTGATCGACCGCCAACGGTTCGAAATGAGAAAGTTGTGGAAGCTGTGCGTTCTTTATTAACCCTCGTCTGACACTTCGTGCGATATCTGAACAGGTAAAAATCGGTAAAGACACTATTTCTACCATCATTCATGGGGATTTGAACCGTAGAAAAATTTGTGCGCGCTTTGTTCCACATTTTTTAACTTCAAAACAGTAAGAAATGCGTGTGAATTGTCATGACTTTGTTGAAACGGATCCAAATAAGGATCCAGATTTCATAAAAGTTATTGTTACTGATGACAAGACATGGTGTTTCATATACGATCCGCAAACAAAGAAACAGACACAAGACACAAGACATCTGCATAACCTTTAATGAAGCGAGATCAACGAAAGTTCGCCAACAAAAATAAAAAAATGAAGACAATGCTCATGCTATTTTTTCTGCAGGATTGATTTATGAATTTGTGTTACTTGGCCAAATCATTAATTCGATATTTTATTTAGAGGTTTTGAAACACCTTCTGAATCGAATGAGACATATCAGGTGAGATTTTATCCTCTGGGAATTGGACATTTCTTCACGACTACGGGTCAGCTCAGTCTACCTTAATTGTATCATGGTTTTTGATCAAACAACAGGTCACAGTGATAATACACAGTGTGTTACATAATGTACATGATGTATCATATTATCCTTATTATTCATCCTTTAATAATTAATCTTTTTTCAGTCACTAATCAAACATGATGTTTATGTATATTTGCACGAAAAATTTTTGACGGGGCATTCATTATTTTTTCAAGTAATAGTAATTTTTTCAAGTAACGGTAACACATTTTTTAAAATAAGTAACGAATAACAGTAAATATTATTTCTTTTAAAGTATGTTCCCAACTTTGGCTTTATAAATGGTTTCGTAATGATTTATTATTTGTAGACCTCTGTAGGAAGAATGGATGCAACATGATTTATAGATGTTACAGAAAAAAAATTGAAAATTCCCTTTAAATGCAAATACAAGAGTAAGCATCTTATAAACATTTTCACTGTTATTGTTTTAATTTATCTTAATTTATTATTTATTATTCTAAAACATCGACTTTTTAAAAATTTCTTTTTATATTTTTAATTTAAAATTTTTCAAAATATTTTGAATCTATATGTACAAATAATTATTTTTTAGAATTTTTCCAATAAATTGGTACGGTAAAACAGTAAAAAATTTTATTCTTATTATTTACCAAGTATTGAACAAGGATGAAATAATTCTCTGTAATATTATATAGTTCGAAAACACTACCCGAATATCTCCGAATATTATTTTATGTTGTTTAATATTTGGTAAACAACAAGAATAAAATAATATTGGGAATCACTTGGTAATATTTTTAAACGCGCGTGCCCATAAATGTTTAATGAGCAAAGTTCGGATCTCGGTGCCATTTTCTTCATTCCAAGCGTGCCGTGACAATGTCATAAGAAACAGTTATTTTCGCTGGTGTAATGATCTAGTCTAAAACAGCAATTTAAAAGTTGTTATAATTATAAAATAAATACTTAAGTTTGTTCTCCTAAAGTTTCATTTCAACTAAACATATATTTACAAGAAATTTATATTCTTTAATGAAAAAAGTTAGAATATATGTCAAATGAACGATGAGTGTACATCAAATGAGCATCTTACAACTTTTATTTTGAAAATATTTAGTAAAATTAACATTAATTATGAATAATGGCATAAGATATTGTTAGTAATCTTTTTATTCTATTATTTTAATTGTTTTATATGTTATTATGAATAAATTATCTATTGATTAGGAAGTAGCAAGAAACTCTTTAAATAACATGTACTTTTTATAATGATTAAAAAATTATAAAAATTAAAGAAAATGGCTTAATGTATCAATATTTCATTATATATACTATTATATGTGATACAAAAAATATATTTAATATAATTATTTATTAAAGTGCACGCTGATATTTTGTTAGTCTTGAAGCACAATCTCTAAATTAAAGCCAGAGAAGTAAGAATTCACAAATTAAATTGACAAGCAATTTAATAATTTAATGCTAATCAACAATTTATGTAAAATTTACACAAATATTAAGCACCACATACACACACACACATATATATATATATATATATATATATATAAGTAAAATATTTTGAATGTTTTGTAAGTTTGAATGTTCACTGTAAAAACAGGCGTGTTATCAAGTGTGTTAAAACAACACACAACTCATTAATGTGGTGTATTGATGTGTTAAATTAATGCAGCTGCGATTACAGATGTGTTGAGATGACACACGAAATGCACTAATCTACACACAAATTCTATATTATAATGGATAACACACTTCATACGTGTTAATATCGCAACTCAGCAAAATGAACGCATATAATGTGTGTATAATTAATGCACGAATCGCAGAATAACACATTTGGAAAAAACAATACATTATTAAAGTTACACACTTACAGAAATTACACACGAAGCCTCGCAGCACTATATAAAAAATGAATTAATGAAAAAATATGACGAAAATATCAATGATGTAATATAAATGTTGTTACTAACAAAAGTTTATTTTTGAACTTATTCTGCGATATAGGTATTGACTATCCTATAAAAAATAGCCAAAAAATATCCAAAATAGCCGATGCATTGTGGTGGCTTTTATTATTAACTCTGGTTTTATCGATTCCAGAGAAGGAAACGTGGTCATAACCTAACGAAGACGAAGAAGAAAAGAAAATCGTTCGTGAGATCGCTTAGCGGATGCGTGTTTGTCTCCAAAATTGGCGGGAACTGGGAGCCATATTGGATTAAGAACAAGAAAAAGACCTTTGTGCTTAAAAATTCTTTGTATCGTAACTATTCTAGTATAGTCTATCATAGAACGCAAGGTTTATTATAATACATAATTGGTAAACGATACAAGTGTGTGAAATTTGTAAACCATTTATCGGATGCAGAATGCTTACGCCAAGCTTTGGCCAAAGTCTGTGCCTCGGACAACATTCTCGACAATATAATAAAGGAAAAAGGAATTGTATTGCAAAAAGCTATTCCAGGGAAAAGTAGGCTTTGCGACATTGAAGAAGAAGAAATTTCTACTGAAAGTGATATTACAGTCTTATTGATAGAACTTAACTCTGCTTTTTCAACATCTCTTCCTGTTGTTACTACAAGTAGTACAATGATTTGTACACAGAATTTAGAATCTGAACATATTATGGAGATGGATATCAACGATATTCCTTTTATTATTCAGGAACAGGTAGATGCAAACAATTTAACATTAAAACTGATGTACAGGTAAGATATTATTTTATGGTAATCTGTAATCTGCATTAGAGATGCACTGAATATTCGACATTATTTGGAATTTGTTTTGATTGAATATTCAGATTGGATAAATATCAGCAACTATTAATCAAATAGTGATTTTTAAATGAATTGTTCAAGTTGTTAAAGAATAGAACATGAAATAAAAATAGAACATAAATATAAATGATTTCAACAGCATTTATTATTATTAAAAATCTTTTTTTTTTATACAGGTTCTGTTTGAATTCTGCACTAATATAAAAAAATGGAAGGAGGAAGAAGCTACAGAAGTCTTCATTACAAAAGTAAAGTATTATGATTGAAGTCCTAATACAGCATTTTGGCATTGAACAGAATGAATTAGGTAAAGTCCAGGCCATACTTAGACTCTATGAATCTGTGACAAACAAGAAATTTAAAAAAAATATCCCTTTATTTCTTGTGAAAGAGATATGTATTTTCATATCTATTAATTAATATAGAAATTCCATTTTTCAGGAAATAATAATTTTAATTTCCTTTTTCTGTTCTATGTCTTCTACACAAAATTTAATGACTGTGGAAGGCGATTCACCTCGATTAGTTTTGTTCACAATGGAGGAAGGTATTGCTGCAGCCTATATTGTCACAGATGAGATTAGAATGAAAATTTTTCAGCCATCTGTTTGCAAATCAGTAGCTTGTTTATTGGCTTCATATTATGTTTGGGATACAAAGTACTCCAATGCATACAAAAACACAATGGAATACATTGATCATGAAGTGATGGGAACAATAATAAAGGAAAATCCAGCTATAGACAAATTCATCAGGGATCGTATCCGTCCTTAAGAGTATAATGTATCGATACGTGATCTAGTAAAATTATGTGAAAATTATTTTGTGGATAAAATTTAATTATCCTTTATTTTGTTCATTAATAATATATTATTGGAATAAGTTTCCGCCCATTGCAGAAAGATGTCGTTAGTAGCATTGCTCGTGTGTTTGATAGAACGGCAAAACATGTTTTTGAAAGGTATGTGTCCAAACTTTTGAGCCCAATAGATGGTATTCGTTCGAAGCGTAACAAAGAGTAATTTTTTTTGCGTTGAAGATGTCGGAATTTATTCCAAAAAAGCAACATTTGCGGGAAGTTTTACTCCATTATTTTATTTTAAAGAAAAGTGCTGCGGAAACGCATCGTTTGCTCGTAGATATTTACGATGAGCATGCTCCATCGAAAACTACTTGTAAAGAATGGTTTCGGCGATTCAACAGTGGTGATTTTGACGTGCGTGACAAAGAACGCGAAGGTGCATCGAAAAAATTTGAAGATGCAGAATTGCAAGCATTATTCGAAGAAGATTCGTGTTTATCGCTCGATAGGTTCGCAAAAGAGTTAAATGTTGATAGATCCATTGTTGGAGAACGTCTACACGCAATAGGAATGGTGCAAAAAGAAGGAAATTGGGTACCATACAAATTGAAAGCAGAATACGAGCAAAGACATGATAAAGTTATTTTTCTTCATGACAACGCTCGGCTTCATGTCGCAAAAGTCGTAAAAAAATATTTGGAAACGCTCAAATGGAATATTTTACCGCACTCGCCGTATTCTCCGGACATTGCTCCTTCTGATTACTGGTTCCGAAGGATGCAGCACGATTTGGCAAGTCACCGGTTCACTTCTTTCGCAGAAATCGAAAATTGACTCCAAAATTGGATGGCCTCCAAAGACGAGTCATTTTTTCGAGATGGAATTCGAAAATTGCCTGAGAGATGGGAAAAAGTAGTAGCCAGCGATCGACAATACTTTAATTAATCTGTTCATTCATTTTGTTTTGAAATAAATGCATTTTTGAACACAAAAAACGGACTGAATTAATTTGTACTCCCAATAATTATTGTATAATATAATAAAACAATAAATAATATAAAATATTATTTGTATTTGTTGATTGACGCGTTTATTAATTTATTAACTTATGCATTGTAATATAGACATATATGATTCGTGTTGTGTTACCTGTATGATATATGTAATATTCTATCTCCCCAGTATCCGAAAAATCTGAATTTTGGATTCGATAATGATGATTTAGCAATTCGTATGGTCATTCCCGAATCCAAAATTCTTCATTTTTCGAATACTAGAGAAGATTAGAGCATTACACATATGTATACATTTACCTGATACAATACGAATTATACGTGTCTATAGAACACACTTTTCCTGTGTTATATCCTGTATTATACTTACACGTTTCTTGCAAATTTATACGTTTCCTTGTGTATTGCATATTTACACACCCAGAAATGTGTCAAAAGTGACTACAGAGACGTACATACATAAAATGTGTTAAAATAACACATAAAAACACATAATAACACATAAAAAAATAACACACTTGTTTTTACAGTGTACAGAAATCTGTAAAATAAATTATCAATATTTTGATTGACGACAAGTGAACTCGACGTATCACCAAATTAATCGATCAAAGATCGTCCAGTATCTCCCGGTTACATACCATATCTTACGAGAGTCGATTGCGCTATGCCTTCTTGCCGTACGAACAGTGCCGAGTCACGTGATCGAATCTACTGCAATGACATTCAGTTTGGATCGTATGCGGGACGTAGGTTATTAAGCGAGACCTGTTATTAAAGTCCCTCTTTCTCACTCTTGTTGCCCTTCATCTCCCTCCGACCTTAAAACTCTCCTTTCCCTCTACCATTCCCATCCCTTTCCGAATGCCGTACCAGAGGAGCGGCTTTGTTGATTTAAGGCGATAATACGGGGCTGCAAGAGATTTTACATGAAAAAAAGGAAGTAAAAGCACAAGACCGGCGCGCTTATAATTACAGATTCGCATTGTCCTGAAACCCCCTTAAACCCTCCTTAACTATCGCCGCCTGTCAGTCTCGTTCCTCCTTCCCTCTCTCCCTCCCCCTCTCACTCTCAACTTGAAAATGATTTTGTAACATAAGGGCGCGAATACCGCGTCGCGAAGTAATCATTAACTACCACGGCGCGTTCCTAGCACTTTAATTATTTATTCCACTACTATGTAGCAATAACACCTTATGATTCGTTCCTATCAATATACGCGCGAATAACGTTTAATTATATAAAGGATGTCCGGAAATTTGCGAATATCATAGCAAGTTTAAGTTATAAAAGTATAGTTGCTATTTTTCGTTCCGAACAATAATTTTTGAAATATAAGAGTTTAAAATAGGTCAATTATAAATCACGATTAAGCGAATGCTGGAATGAAAAAATTGTCGGGACATTGCAGATCAATATAAAAATTTATCGAAAAAAAATTTATTCGAACAGATTAAAAAATCCTTTTACAGAATTAAAATAGACGTAAAATTTGGAAGTGCAGTGAACTTTATACTAAAATCGAAAAAAAAGCTAAAAATGACAAAACAATAATTCAGAACTCAATGTTTTATGTGTACATACAAATAATACATATACTGACTTTACGAAACTAAGATTAAAAACTTAAAAAGAAAGATTTGTATCGATCTATAAATATATGAACGCTGAGAGAAGACTCAGAATGATAAATAAAACACAGTAATTGTGTTTAGCAGTAGATGTTCGATGATATTCTAAGACATGGCGTTGCAATAAGTTAGATAAAGACACGTGCATTTGAATGAGACAGAACGGTAATGTAAGAAATGAATTAAAGATGTCACTATTATCGATTTTTTTAATTTGCAATTCAAAAAATCTGTACTATCAACATCGATCAAGCTCCGTCACTCCAGCATTCTCTTAAAGACTGTCACTATTGTCGATTTTTTAAATTTAGAATTTAAAAAATCTACTATCGACATTGATCAAGTTTATCCGTCACTCCAGTATCCCCTTAATTGATGCTATAAACAAACATAGCGAATAAAGTAAATTTAAAATTATATCACTGAAATTATATCACTACACTAATTTGTTCGTGATTGATTCGTGATTTGTAGATCCGGGTTCGATCCTATTTGCACTTCATACTTCATATACGCGATTTTTTGCGTTCACCGTTCGGATTCGGTGTTAAACTGTAGGTTCTTTCGAGTGTTGACAAACTGTAAGGAATAAGAATGCAAACTACTACCAAATGCAAAAACATAAGCGAACCTCTGCTCCCTGAAGAGGCGCTCTAAAGCTAAATTGATACACTTGGTACTGTGGTCCCTCAAAAATGGGGGTTAGAAAACCAAATCCGGGGAATATACTAAGACTTAAAATTTACATGAAACAAGAGAACAAGTATGTTAAATACATACTTTTTAGCTGCATATACTTTTAAATATCTTAAATCGTAATACGTACTTTTGGATGTATTAAACGTTGCATGTAATTATTGGGTAATTGCATGTAATTATTGGGTAATTGCAATGATAATATATCATTTTTTATAAATAATTTTTGAATAGATTTTATAGGGTTTTCGAAGTCTTTTTCGTATCGTGATGATATACTTGGCCAGTTGTACTGATTTCATTACTTCATCACTTATTTTTTAATATACATAAATCTGTGATAAAAGGAAAGATTAATTTTTCAGGCCTGAAACTCTGCGATTTATTAGTACAAATTCTCTCTAAGACGAATCATTGATGGGAAAGAAGACTTAATTTACGTTTATAATTATCTCCGGAGTGATTTCTCACGTCGGGAAAATCGCCGAAGTAAACCGAGACACAAATCTCCGTCGTATTTTTACAGTCTACGAACGAGGCGGTGCCTCTTCAACTATACTAAATCAACCGATCATAGCTTCATCAGTCTTTCACGGATAAACGCTTAGATAAGCCTCACCTGAGAGATCCTATAGATATGGGGAAATCAGGTATTGAAAAAGGTCTACTCTGGTCATGTTAACAGCCGAGACTCATAAAAATATTTAAAGCGACCAAAAGAGAAAAAGGAAAATAAGAATGAGTGTGTGTGAGAGAGAGAGAGAGAGAGAGAGAGAGAGAGAAAAAAAATATAACTCTCTCTCTCTCTCTCTCTCTCTCTCTCTCTCTTCTCCCCTAAAAGTACCAATTTGATGTTATATGATGTTAAATGTGATACTATATATATAATTTTAAATTTAACTATGAGTAGTTTATCTATGGAATAACGAAATTTAATAATTCATTTGTAATTTTTATGAACGGTGGGGATCCATTTTGGTCCATAATCGGATTACCGTAGAAACAACATTTTTCACCGATTTATCGGTGCGATCAAAGAACGTGCGCCATTGATATGAGTCGGGGCTGAAGTGTCCCTTTTCCTTGACAACTTCACCACTTTTCCTTTAGGAGAGGGGTCAATCCCATTATCTACCTGGTTGACCTGTTGGGCGTAAAGTGAGTAGTCCTGTCCAGGAAACGGTATCCCATCAATTTTTAAGTCTTTGACGAATTTCGGTCGATGCATCAGCGTTGTCCTACCGTCATCATACAATCTAGCTCTACACCGCCGATTCTTCAACCCTTTCATTATCAAACCGAAAGCATAATTAATTACAGGATATCTGAATTTCTTTTTTCTCACGTTGTGTATCGAATTCCGAAAAAAATTATATTCTCACAGTAAGAGGATTACATACTTTGTAAACACATGCATACTCGTAATGAATAAAAATATTTTCATTGCGAATATGTTTTCAAATAAATATTTTTTGTATAACCAAATAAATATATGTTTATATTAATAAATATTTAGTTAGTATACTATTCAAATAAATATTTATTAATTTATTAAATTTTTTTCTGTATATACATTTTGTTGTATGATAAATTTTTTATCATGTTTAACAATAACTGTATACTCATTATACACTATTGTATTTAGAGAATTAGTGACGCGATCGCTTTGTGAAAGTTG